CCGCCTCGGCTTGCACTGACACTAGCACGGCCCCCCGATTTGCACTGGCCCTGGCACGGCCCCCCGATCTGCACTGGCACTGGCATGATCCTCCTCCTCCTGCTCCTCCTCCTCCTGGTCCTCCTCCTCCTCCTCCTCCTCCTCCTTCTTCTGGGGAACCTCATCGCTGAGCGTTGAGCGAGAGCTTTCGCCACTCCTTGCTCAGAGATGTGGGTCCCGTCCCAGATGTGAGCTCGGAGCTGGGTGTCCCCTCGTACTGCGACAACCCCAGCGTCTTCGGCCTGGACTAGGGCATGGCGCAGTCTGCCAAGGACGCCGTTGTCGCCCGCGCCGGGTCGAAGGGCTTCCCTGTCCACGACGAGGAGGGCGTCTCCAGCATCTTCTCGTCGGGTCGCTGCGTCGACGGGGTCGAGTGGATCGTCTACAACAAGCCCGAACGGGCCGAGAGGCTCGCCAAATTTCGCAATCTTATCGGCACGGCGCTCACCTGTCTGGGCGCGCCGTGCAGGGATGGGCTTGGCCCCGCTGTCCCTCCGCCCCCCCCCCCGCCTGCTTCCACGGGGCCGTGCCAAGCTGGAGGCCATACGCTCTGGGAGTTCCCCGTGCTGGACAGCGCGGCGCGCTCGCTGTTCTGCACCACCTGTGGCGACAACGCCGCCATATTCAAGAGAGCGCAGGGCCGGAAGGGCCACTTTCTTGGTCAAGAGGCCTCCCTGCCAGGTGCAGGGAAGACCTATTCGGATGCGTTCGCTAGATTGGTCCATCCCAATCGAGCGTTCGAGCTGTGCCCTCATCGCAACCCTGGTTCGCAGGCGAGGTCGCTGCTCGGGAGTCGGCTCGGCGCGTCTCTCGAGGGTCAGGCCCCAACGAGAACCCACAGGCGCGTCCCTGCCCCACCGTTGTTGAACCGAGCCGACCTTTGCATGGCGGGCCTCTGCAAGTGTCTTGGCCTCAACGAGGAGCGAGCCCGAGCCCTTGGCAAGGCAACCGAGTGCACGACCGGGATCGATTCCGAGGATGAGGGCTTTTTGGGGGTGCTCTGTCGTGGACCCGCGGGGCGAGGATTGAACTCGTCTCGAGGGCCAACAGCCATTCCTTGGATGGGCACCCCCTGGTCTGTCTGTCTGTCTGGTCTGGTCTGGTCTGGTCTGGTCTGGTCTGGTCTGGTCTGGTCTGGTCTGGTCTGGTCTGGTCTGGTCTGGTCTGGTCTGTCTGTCTGTCTGTCTGTCTGTCTGTCTGTCTGTCTGTCTGTCTGTCTGTCTATCTGTCTGTCTGTCTCTCTCTCTCTCTCTCGCTCTCTGCCGCTCACTTTTCCCATGCTCCGCATCGTGCATGCCAACGCGCGTGTGAAGGCGGCGCTTCTGTCACGGGTGCGCAGACGGGCCCTTGAGTGGCCTGATCTCCGCATGCCCGCTTTGCTTTCCAGCCGGGGCCCCCTACAGGCCGCGCCAGGAGGGGAGGGGGTCATTCCACCACCCCTAATCGGTACGCGGCACCTCCCACTTTGTGAGGTAAGCCTGCGCGGCGCTCGTAGCCACGGGGCCTGACGGACTTCGGCATGTCGAACTGTTGCGACCTCCTCCTCTCTCTTCTCTCTTCCTCCTCACTTTCTATCCCTCTCCCTATCCCTCTCTCTCTCTCTCTCTCTCTTCTCTTCCCCTTTCTGGGCGTCCGATCGCCCTCCTCCTCTCTCTTCGTCCTCCTCCTCTTCCTCCTCTTCCTCGTCGCCCCGCACGTCTCCCTGGCTCTCTCCCTATCCCTCGCTCCTCCTGCCCCCGCTCCTGCCCCCGCTGTTGCCCCCGCTGCGCGCCCTCCTCGCCCTCGCCCTCGCCGTCCCTCGTCCTCGCCCTCCTCGCCCTCGCCCTCCTGGCTGCTGCTTCTGCACCTCATTCGCCCTCGTCCGCTCCTCTGTTCTCCCTGCAGATACGTCGATGTGCTCTCTGTCCGCTCGAAGTGTCCATTCCAATCCCCCTCCCCCTTCTCCTTCTCCTCCCCCTCCTCCTCCTCCTCCTCCTCCTCCTCTTCCTCCCTCCCCTCCCTCCCCTCCCTCCCCTCCCTCCCTCCCTCCCTCCCTCCCTCCCTCCCTCCCTCCCTCCCTCCCTCCCCCCTCGAGGACATCTGCGTTATGGGGGACTTGCCCAGGGCGGGGGCAGGGGGCAGGCGGCGGCAGGGGGGGCGAGGGGAGGACGGCGGGCGGCAGGGAGCAGAGGAGCAGGGCAGGGGGGGGGGTAATGCGGGATGACGATTAATGAAAAAAGGGGGGGAACGATTAAATAAATAGTTTCCTACTATTTCTGCACAAGTTTCTGACTGGAGGAGAACGATTTTTAAAAATGGTTTTCCAGCCCGCGGCCGGTTTTTTCTAATCGTCATCCCGGGCGCCGCCGCGTGAACACGACCCCCGGTCATTTATTAATCGTCATCCTCCATTACATTCAACCCGTAGAACAAGGACGCACGGTAAGGACGCAAGGGCCTTGGAAGGCCATGCCGACACTCTGCGAGCGGGGCGCTGCCAACGAAGGCGGCCAAGCCGCTCATGCCTTGCTCAGCCGGTGGTCTGTAAGAGGACCGAGCACGGCAGGCGCCATTTTGACCAGGGGCCTGGTCATGCCAGGGGGAAGGCCAACCGCTCGAGACCTCTTCGCTCTGGGGCCACGGGCCCTGCACTCCGTAGAGAAAGTCCCGTTCCTGAGAAGGAGGGTTGGGCGAAGGAGGTGGGTCTCTCTACCTCGTCCTTCTCCTCGTGCTCCTGTGACACCCTCCCTCCCCTGCTGCGCACCTCCTCATCCTCACCCCCTTCTTATTCAAAACCCAACTCTTCCTCATTCCCCCACCTCCTCCTCCTCCTCCACCTCCTCCTCCTCCTCTTCCTTCTCCTCCGTACCTCCTCTCCGTACCCATTTTGGCTCAAAATGTTGAAGTTCACAGCGGATCACGTGGATACCGCTAGTCCGCGGCCAGACCACAGTTTCTCTCCCAACAACTGGTTCGCCCCAGTTGCTGCTGCCTCCCGCGCCCGCTGGTGAGCAGGCGCCTCCTGACTCCCAGATACGACGCCACCATGAGTAAGCCGCAGAGCATGCGGTATACGGTGTGCAGGGCTTGCAACGGGTGGGTATTCAATTGGAGGTTGGAAGAGTCAGGAGGTTGGTGCAACAAGTGCGACGATAACATCACGGGCTGGAGCGAATCGGTCCCACGGGCTGCGGGAGGAGGCCAGCGAGAAGCGCCACCACCTTGGGGCAGGAGCGCATCTCCACTCGCGCCTGCTGGTGAGATCCAGCAGATCCTCGATGAGCTTCAGTCGGGCAAGGGCGCCTTCGCCAAGACGCACGAGGACCTGGGCCCGCTGCAGGCCCTCCAGGCCCAGCCCGTCGCCAAGGGCCCGAAGCCTGCGGAGGTGCCCAAGTCGGTCGCGCTCCGCACGGCGATCAGCGAGCTCGGCAAGACAAAGGCGGCCCTCGGCGAGGCTGCGGCCCAGCTCCTCGAGGCGGAGAACTGGCTCCAAGGCGGCGCAGGGCAAGCGCGACTAGACCCTGGAGGAGGCAGCCGACGCCGAGGAGGAGCATGAGGCAACACTCCGAGCACATCATAGCTCGGCCGTCCCAGCGCCTATCCCAGTAGAAGGTACCACGTGGAGGGCGCCGCCTGTCGACCGAGAGCTGCTCGCCAATCTCGATGACGACGCGGCGGAGGACCGCGGGCGCCCACGACAATTTCAGGAAGATGCGGAAGCCGTGGCGACTCTCCTCGATAATGCCCAGGGCCAGTACAAGGCGTTCATTTTGTTTGGTTCTTCGAGGTTCGCTAGCGATCGGCGTGCCGCAGTTCGCGCGTGCCAAAGACTGGCGAGCGCCCGGGAAAACCGGTGCGGGACATGCCCTTTCGCATTCCTTACAGCTGGCGCTGGGAGGTGGACACCCGCGACGCGGCGCACGTTCAGTACAATGCGTTCATGGAAGCAAAGAAGGCGGCGGACGCCATCCGCGCATCCCACCGGGCCAAGGAGCGGAAGGCGGCGGAGGGCGGGTCGGCGGCACCAGAGCCCACTGCGCCAGCGGCGCAGGAGGCACGCCCTGCCCGGGCGGAAGACGGGCCACCAGCCCCACCATCCGCAGAGGAGCTGCAGCAGCGGAGGGACAGGTCGGACAGGCCCAAGGAGGAGGCGAAGGGCAAACTCCGTCGCAAAGGGGAGGCTCCCACCTCTGCTGCAGCTCGGGATGGCCATCCTCCTCCTCTAGCAAGATCTTCTTCCCGAGCATCGCGCAACCTGGCAGCAGAACCCACGTGTGCATCAACGAGCGCGGCAGTGGCATGGGCATTATCATGCTGTGCGAAACGCACATCGGCAGCGACACCCCCGAGACCAAAGTGGACTGTGGCGAAAGACGGCTGGAAATTAAAGGGCACCCCTCCTCCTCCTCCTCCTCCTCGTCCTCCTCCTCCTCCCCCTCCCCCTCCTCCTCCTCCTCCTCCTCCTCCTCCTCCTCCTCCTCCTCCTCCTCCTCCTCCTCCTCCTCCCCAGCGACGCCAACAGGACGGTCATACCGAGGGAACTCAGGTGGAGAATTCATATTGGTTGAATCTCATGTGGCGTGCACTACGCACGACACGCTGCGGGGGCGCATCATCGCAGACGGAGGTGAGGACCCCTTCCTCGGTTTCACAGCAGTCAATTTACACGCTCGTGCAGGGAACGTGATTTTGATTGCAGCATGTTGGCTCCCAGGCGCAGGCATGAATGGTGGGACTCGCGAGAGTGTCAGATCACATGCGGGGTTCGTTAGAGCGTTGGCTGATCCATGTGTGAGTTTAGCAGATTGGAACATCACCTTCGCAGACTTTCAGTCCACGGGCTTCCTACAGCAGATCGTCGGCTCGCTCCTCGAGCCAGATGTAGAGGCCACGCGTGTGAAGGGGAAGGGCAACCTCATCGATTCCGGAGTCGCAATGTCGGACTTTGTTGACAAGTTAAGGCTTGAAGCGGTCAGGGCGGCACCGTGGAGGACACACTGCGGGCTCGCTTTGTGTGACAAAGGAGCCACCGGCAAATGGTGGCACAGGAAGCTGATCATCCCAAAGGAGCTCGCCACCCCGCCGAAGCCAAAGAAGACACCTGACCCAGACAGCAGGCGCACGAAGAAAAGGAGGGTAGAACATCAGCGAGCCAAGGCGCGCCTGGAGACGCACTTGCAGGAGACGCACTCCCTGGAGATGCTGGAGGAGACGAGGGCCACCATCGCGACGACGCAGTTCGGCAGCACGGGTGGCACGTGCCAGCAGGTGGTGGCGGAGGACCTCGGGCTCCCCGGGCTGTCGGACGAGCTGAAGGCCTGGGGCGCAGGCCTCATTATCCGTGACCGTCGACGTGAGCTAGCAGAAAAGGCAGCCACAAGGATCTGCGCGGAGTGGGTCACGAGGTTGGAGGGGGCGGCCATCATCGCGGACGACGTCACAGCGGAGGCAGCAGTGCACTACAGAGGCAGGGGATCTGGCTTCGAGGTCAGGCGGGCCAAGGCCCGTTCCACTCCAGGGCGCGCCTATATGAAGCTCGGTAGCGGAGCACTGGGGCATCATGAATGCGGCGCTGATCAGGTGCCTGGCCCTCCGCTCCAACGACGCGGACCCACCCCAGCAAGCCAAATGCCTCGCGGACGCGCACGGGCAGACGAAGGCGCTCCAGCAGTTAGAGCAGGACGCGGTCTCCGGCAAGAAGAACGGTCGAGAAGCACGCAGCAACTATCACCTGGACGTCACCCAGATCCAGAGTTTGGTCAACCAGTCAGAGGGTCACCTAGCGACGGCCATGGCGATGAGCTTCACTGACCAGAGGGGGGGGGCTTCACAAAATGGGCCAAGGCAGCGTGGAAAGGCAAAGTCCGTCTTTGACACCGTCACGTTAAAGAGCAGCAGTGACCCAGGTTCGAGATGGTCGCTGGTGCCCCCAAGGGTATGGCCGACCCACATGTCATGATGTCAATCAAGAAGTCGGGCTGGGACACATCTGGACGGACCCAGTGGACACCAAGCAAGACATCGCGAATCAGCTCGACCCGGTGAGGACCAAGGCATGGGAGGAGGGCATTGAACGGCCCGCGCTCGAGGACCTGGATGGCACCATCAGATCATCGGCCTCCTCCAAGGCGAAAGGTGTGAATCAGTTAGGGCCGCCAGACATCGAGAGGGCCCCGCAGGAGGCTGGCGTATGGCTTCCCCAAGTACTTCAGCATTGCGAACAGGAGGTGACGCGGCCGAGACAACTGGAAGCCACCAAGTGTGCATTGGCCGCCGAACCCAAAGGAGGAGATCGTGCATAGGGTATGTTGACGCTACCGATCAAGCTGTGGTCGAGAGCGAGAGGGGTTTGCTGTGATCGCTGAAGCGCTGGTCTGCAGGCGCACTGGGGTACAGCGCTCAAGGGCAGCTCTGCCCTCAGGGCGGCCGCCCTATTGAGGGCTTGCCTAGACGAGGTGGGTGCGGAGCTGGGGGCGTCATCCATGACGCTATCATTGGATAACGAGAAGTTCTATGACACGGTCTCGCTCTTCATTCTGATGCGCATCGCAATCAATGTGGGCTTCCCATCGGTCGTGGCGGCGCTAGAAGTGACGGCCTTCATTGGCGCGAGTTTCCCCCGGGAGCGCAGCGTGCTCAACGAGGCCGTCTGGCCAACCGGATCGCTGGTGGCAGGCTCAGCACGTGGAGTGTGCTTGGCAAAGTTGTTCCTCCATCCTGTGCTGGGCCGAGCGCATCGTCGAGCTCCCACCTCGGCACTATGGACGTTCGTCGATGACGCCGTCGCGAGGGTGGAAGGCTCCAGAGCTCGAGTGGGCGAAGCGATCGAGGTCACCGCGCTGATCACGGATAGCCCCGAGCAGCAGAGGATGGTGGTCTCCAGCAAGTCAGCGCTGCTAGGCTCGCACGCCAAGGGCGTCAAGGTGACCGCGGAGCAGCCGCGCAAGAAGGCGCCCCCCATCCAAGCGGCTACTGAGGCGGTGGGCTTAGGCATTGACACACCAGCGGGACGCAAGCGGATCACGGCGAAGGCGGCCCTTCGACGCCAAAAGGCCAAAACGAGGTTTGCCAAGATAATCAGATTGCGGCGAGTTGCAGCACTGGCGCGAGGAGAAACCAGAGGACTATGGAATACGGGAGCCATGCCACAGGAAATCCACGGACACCAGGCCTTCGGATGGCGGCTCACGAACTCCAGCGACTACGTCGACACGCAAGACAAGTGGCAGGGGGCATGGCGAGAGGCCGGCGTCTCACTCCGACGCTGGCGGTGGAGATGTGGAAAGGTGATCCAGCCATAGCACTTAGGACGGCTATCATCAAGGAGTGGATCCACCCGTGGCAGCGCTTCCCAGACATTCACCACAAGGTCCTGAACGCATGGCCTCATATGCGAAGAAGATTGGTCAAGCTGAGGCCCCAGCGATGGAGAGGGGTACGCGGGCCAGTCGGGGCAGTGCAAGCTACCCGAGTGGACGTGGGCTGGCGCGCGCGGACGGCAGCGAGCTGGCCCCGAGCTGCCGGGGAAGACGAAGGCATGGCGGAGCAGTGCGCCCCCATCATCCCTCGAAGGGACCTTCGACGCCAACGGCTGTTTCCAGCCGCTCATAGATGATTTCGCTGAGGACGTTGCCAAGCAGTTGTAGACCGAAGCAGCGCAGCGCCCTGAAGGAGCAGGCCTGCAACAAGGGGCTGGTGTCTGGCATATTCGAGCTGAGCACAAACGCTTCGAGCAGAAAGGGCAGTTGGACACGATTGGCTTAACTATGACAGTGGTTGCAGGTGGACAATGGAACAAGACCAGAGCCTCGGACAGCGGCTACCTCATCCCTACTAGAATATACGGCAGATGCATCGAGGCGGAGGAGACCCTCATGCACAGGATCTGGTTGTGCCCAAAGAACACGGGCCACGAGGACTTCCAGCTGACGGACTCCCCCGTCCCCGCCGCGATTGCAAAGGCGGGCTCTGAGCCAGCTCTCTGGCTTCGAGGACTGTCACCAATTCATAGCACCCACCCTTGCTTTGCTGAGGGTCTTGTAGAAGGGAGGGAGGTGAGGTCTGGGACGTTGGAGGACTGGGCGGGATGCAGAGTTAAGCAGCAGCTCCATACTTCTGGAGATGGTTCTGGGGGCTGTTTCCTCAGCTGCCCCGATGCGCAAGACGCAACGCGTGTCGTCTTGATACGGAGCTCAACACGTAGGCTGAAAACTTGGGTCCGTCGCGATACATCCGCCAAAACGTGGCCCAATACGTGGAGCCAACGCGCAACGTATTGACACGGACGTCTTGAACACGGGACGTGTTGCGCTTCAAAACGGGCGTATCAAGGCCGTTTCTCGTCAGACCCTCGGCGAAGACGGTGCGGAGCCAGTGTGGCAGCCACCAGAGCTGCAGATGGGGAGTGGCGAGCAGGTGCAGCTCTGGCCGTCCCTCTCCTCGGCCCAACGGCAAGCTGCCCCCCAGAGCTGGGATCCTCATTTCCGTGCTCGCGCTGGAACGGCTGCGAGCCAATTTCGTCTTTGTCACGGGCCATCGGGCGGTCGCGAGAACCCGGAGAGGGCGCCTGGGCTCCCCCAAGGCCACGGGATCCAATGAGGACCTCCGGGCCCGCGCCAGGGCAGCCTGGGGCCACCGCAAGTGCAAGGAAGTGGAGGTCGTCTGGGTCCCCTCTCATTTGGCCGGGCGGCCAGAAGACCTAAGCTCGCCCCTGCAGCTGTTTCTCGCAGCAGGTAATCTCATCGCTGACACTTGGGCGGGAGCGGGGACGGAGCTGGCGTGGGAGGAGGGGTTCGTCGGCAGAGCGCCTGATACACGTCGGTCGGAAGAAGTAGGTAAAAGATGAAGTAGGAAGGCGGATTAAGTTGATGGGGCCCAGGCCCCCCCAAAGAATAACAAGACTCAGCAAGAGCGTGCCGATTCTTGAAACGGGAAGGCGCTGGAAGTAGATTGGGCTATGGGAGCCCAAAAATACATTCTTTCAACGACCGGCGTGTACAGTCGGGGCGTTGACCTAAGGAACCCTAAATAAGGAACGAGGCCCCTCTTTTCCATAAGTTGACCTTCGATTTCCTGTCGAAAACATAAGGACAGCCTGAGGCAAGCTGAGAAACACTTAAAGAACGCGGAGCCCCTCCCCAACGAAACGGGTTCCTTCTTCAGGGCCCCGGCGTGTACGGGTCGGATCGGCTCGATTGCGCCCATGGTGCGCAGGGAGAGCCCGCAGGGCGCCGATGTTGGCCGCCCCGTCGGAGACGGGCGAGCGAGCCAGCCGCCCCACGCCTGTCAAGGACCCCGCTGGTCTGGGTCGCGCTCTCGGGGGCTCCCTGCACCAACTGCTCCGAGCTGGCAGCAAGTGTGACTACCTACCAGACCACCCCAACCCAACCCAAAGACCCGAATTTCGGGTTGGGGGGGGTACGGGTTCCATATGCGTTGTCTCGATGCTCCCCGACCCCCCCCCCCCCCCACTGGAAATGGAGGGCAGATCGAGACCTTCGGGTTGGGTTGGGGTGGTTTGGTGGGTGGTGAAAGTGGTGCCGCACCAGGTGCGAGGCAGCGGTCCCAAGTTCCAGGCCTTTTCGTTCTGCGGCCACCCGCTGCGAGGGACCCCCTGGAGCCAAATCCCAGGGACCGAGGGTGTGTGTGTGCTCGGCGTCGGGGCCATCTCGAGATCCACCAGGCGCATTCTGTGACGTTCGTCGCGCAGTGGCCGTGGCACATCTGCACGGCCTGCGGCGTGTGTGCGACCGTCGATGCACGGCACCTGAGAAAGAGCCGCCAGGGACCCACCCCGAACGGAGTCGAGCACCTGCGTCGCATCGAGCAGGCTCTGCTCCCTCGGCGGGAGGGGCCTCCCGAGGCCGTGGGCCTGGCCACTGCTGCTCGGGGTGGTCGTCGCCCGGAGTCGCCGGACGGGGACGGCGGAGAGAGCAGCGGCCAGACGGGAAGCCCCCCCCGCCGAGCCCCCTGAGGTCACCCGCTCCTGAGGTCACCCGCGCACGCGTGGACTGGCGCGAGAGAGAGAGAGAGAGAGGCGCTGCGTCGGGAGGCCGAGGAGCAGCGGGTGCAGGCAAGCGCCCTGCGCCTGCTGAGAGCGGCGCGGGGGCCGGGTTTTTGACGCGCGGGGGACCCAGAGGGGGAGGCGTCAGAGAAGCATCGGGCTGAAGTGTATTCCACCAGCAGCCAGCCCGACGCCAGAAACAGACGGGACAGAGGTCCGTGGGCAAATCATCAAAATAGTCCTCCGTACTTCCTCCTCCTCCTCCTCCGTACCTCCGTACCTCCTCCTCCTCCTCCTCCGCCTCCTCCTCCTCCTCCGTACCTCCTCCTCTTCATCCTCCTCCTCCTCCTTCTCCTCCGCCTTCTCCTCTTCCTACCTTCTCCTCGTCCTCGTCCTCTCCCTCCCCATTCCTCATCCTCCTGATCCTCCTCCGCATGCCGCTCCTCCCTCTATTCCTCTTCCTATTCCTCATCGTTCCACTCCAGAGAGGGTCTGAGGGGGATCGGGTGGAGGAGGTGGGGGAGGAAGTAGGGGAGGAGAGGGATGAGGGGAGGAGGTGGAGGAGGGAGGACGGGGGAGGTGGAGGAGGAGGGAAGGCAACGTCAGATCTCGACCTTCACGCCAGCAGTGCCGGCGTCAGGAGAAGGAGGGGCACGAGGAGACGAAGGAGGGAGGAGTGACGGGGGAAGAGAGGAATCGGAAAAGGAAGCGGGCTCCCCTCTCCCCCCCTCCCCCAGCCTCCCGCATCCACCTCGTCGTACCTATGTTTCC